GTTCTGCCTATTATATGCAAGCTCTCGGGTTATCTGATAGTATCCGGGTCGATGTCTTTGGTAAACCTTCCGGCCCCGAGATGACATGTTGTCGCCCCCCCCCGGAGGTGCTGAACATCATCGGACGGCTTCCCGGAACATCTAGAAATGTTCATTTTTAGGGGAAATTATTTAGCAATTTTTAATTAAAAAAAAGTGTTTTGCAGAAGCGCTCGGAGCGCGTTCTATAGACAGGCGGAGACGCGACTTTCCTGAGCGCACATTCTGATGTATTTCCAACAAAATATCCTAAAGAAGCCCGAAATCCTCATCATTCTCATTGTGTCTGTCCAGGACCCCGAGACCCCCTCCAGAGGGATGGACGAGGAGCGGAATGACCGGAGCAACAGAATACTGGACCTCACCCTGGACATCATCTACCTGCTGACCGGAGAGGTGAGGAGGATTCTGGGAGGTCACATGACGTCACTCTGATCTCTATTCATAACACACAGGCCTGACCGGAGGGGTGAGGAGGATTCTGGGAGGTCACATGACATCACTCTGATCTCTATTCATAACACACAGACCTGACCGGAGAGGTGAGGAGGTTTCTGGGAGGTCACATGACATCACTCTGATCTCTACTCATAACACACAGACCTGACCGGAGAGGTGAGGGAGATTCTGGGAGGTCACATGACATCACCATTGCTTTTCCTTTGCAGAATTGTCCTGCGGTGAAGTCCGGTGACAATGTAACCATCACAGTTCCTTCACTTCACTCCCTGACACGTGAGAGAGACATTGAAAAGAAGATTCTAGAAGTCATCAAGAAGATCATTGAGCTGCTGACGGGAGAGGTGAGCGGTGCCGGGAATTCTGGGACATGATCCGGGAACAGACAAGGGGCGTGTCTGGGTGGTGACTGTATCATTGTGTGTGTCAGGTTCCTATAAGGTGTCAGGATGTCTCTGTCTATCTCTCCATGGAGGAGTGGGAGTATCTAGAAGGACACCGGGATCTCTACAAGGACGTGGTGATGGAGAATGCCCCGCCCCTCACATCACCGGGTAAGAGGAGAGAGCAGTAGGGAGGCTCCGCCTACGTCCCCCATCATCTGATACACACATAGAAACAATGTATTCAGTCAGTGTGTGTGTTTCCTACAGATGGATCCAGTAAGAGGAACCCACCAGAGAGATGTCCCCGCCCTCTGTATTCCCGGGATCCCACCCAGGAAGATCTCACAATCCCCCACCATGATCAGGTAGGTGGTACTGATGGTCTACAACCCAAAAATAACTCCTGTTGTCTGGGATTACATTCTTCTGGGCAATCTTACGGCTCACATTTATAATATGTTTTGTTTTTTTATATCATTTTGTGGTTTTAGGGAGAAGAACAGATTGATATCAAAGTTGAGGTCAAAGAAGAAGAGGAGATGTATGTGATGAGTGATCAGAATGCTATGAAGGTGTTCTTTCCCGTGGAGACTCATCAATGGACTCCGCCAATGCCGAGGCTTCTTCTGAAAAATGCCTTCTCACCATTGACTCGGGTCCTGACGGTAAGGAACGTTCCTCTGATCCATGTGATCTCCCCGGATCCTCTTCCAGGGATATAGACACTGTTACGCTCAGAGATGAGAATGTGTTCATATCTTCTGAGGATGAAACATGTCCGAAATCCCCTCCTTCCTCCGACCGAGGATCTCAAGCACGCGGGCGCCCGTTTCCCTGCGCGGAGTGCGGTAAAGGTTTCTCTCAGAAAACAGACCTTCTTAGACACCAGAGAACCCACACTGGCGAGCGTCCCTTTTCGTGTTCGGAGTGCGGGAAGAGTTTCACTTGTAAAAAGGTCCAGATTGCACACCAGAGGAGTCACACAGGCGAACGTCCTTTTTCGTGTCCCGAGTGCTGGAAATGTTTCATACGGAAGGGTGACCTCCTCAGGCACCAGAGGTGTCACACGGGCGAGCGTCCTTATCCGTGTCCAGAGTGTAGGAAATGTTTTGCCCAGAAAGGGGAACTTCTTGCCCATCAAAGAACTCACACGGGTGAGCGCCCTTATTCATGTTCCGAATGCGGGAAATGTTTCACTCAGAAAGGGATACTTATCGCACACCAGAGGAGTCACGTAGGCGAGCGTCCTTTTTCTTGTCCAGACTGTGGGAAGTCTTTCACCCAGAAAGGAGGACTTGTTAGACACCAAAGAATCCACACGGGAGAGCGGCCATTTTGCTGTTCAGAGTGTGGCAAGTCTTTCTTTCAAAAAGGAGAGCTTCTCACACATCAAAGAATTCACACAGGCGAGCGCCCTTTTTCCTGTTCAGAATGTGGGAAATGTTTCACCCAGAAAGGGGTACTTATTGCACACCGGAGAAGCCACATGGGAGAACGACCTTTTTCGTGTTCTGAGTGCGGGAAATGTTTTACTCAGAAGGGACACCTCCTTTCCCACCAGAGAAGTCACACAGGGGAACGTCCTTTTTCATGTAGTGAGTGTGGAAAATGTTTCTCACGGAAAGGGTATCTCCTAAAACACCAGATAACTCACATGACCGAGCATCCTATTATATGTTCGGAGAGTGGTAAATATTTATTTCCGGAAGGAGAACTTCTCGCGCAGCAGAACAAAGACACCAAGGAGCGTCCTTTTTCCTGTCCAGAGTGTGGGAAAAGCTTCACTCACAAAGGAGTACTTATTGCGCACCAGAGATGTCACACAGGGGAGCGCCCTTTCTCCTGCACAGAATGCGGGAAATGTTTCACACAAAAAGGACATCTTCTTTCGCACCAGAAAAGTCACACAGGAGAGCGTCCCTTTTCCTGTTCAGAGTGCGGGAAGTGCTTCATACGGAAAGAAGCTCTTTTCAGACACCAGAGAAGCCACACGGGCGAGCGCCCTTTCTCCTGCCCGGAATGTGGAAAAAGCTTCATACGGAAAGCGCACCTCATCGCACACCAGAGGAGCCACACAGGCGAGCGGCCTTATTCCTGTACAGAATGCGGCAAGCGTTTCCTGGAGAAAAGAAAGCTTCTCATGCACGCGAGAATCCACACGGGTGAGCATCCTTTTTCGTGTCACGAGTGCGGGAAACGCTTTATGTTGAAGTCGCACCTGATTACGCATCGGAGGAACCCATGCCAGCTGACACCTGCCTCGAATGTATGCGGAACGTTGTCCCCTCAGGGACCTGATATTGACTTGGGGCGGAGTTGTGTTATTAAGAATAAATAATAATAATGTGTTATTATAATGGTTCCTTTTTTTACATTATTTATGATTTTTGGTTGTTTTAGAATGCACGGAGTAAGGCGGAGCAACGTTTTTATTGGTTCATTGGATA